TTTGGTAAAAGTTATTATTTTAACTATATAATTCTATTCTCGCGCAACGCGCGGGGATTCGCCTAGTTATACTTATAAAAGACGCATTTTTACTTGCACCACATGCATTTGAAACCTCTATGACTTTTCAATTTCTTTCTAATAATTATTATAAATTGGTTAATAATGTTAAGTTAATGAAAAACTAAATTCTAATCATAAATCAACTAAACTACAATATTAAAATATCATATTTTACTTCTACTTATAAAATTGTGACTTTAACCTTTTCACATATTATAGTCAACTTATTAGTTTAGATATATTGTCGTATGTGAGCAATTGTCATTTTAAAGTCACAACTTTTGTATAATTTATGATTTCATGCAAAATAGTTAAATTATTGATTTCAATATAATGTTAAACGGCTAACTTAAATCAAAATTTTAGTTAAACTTGAAAAAAATCGAGAGACTATTTTATAAATTGTTTTTTTTAAGGGAACTTCTCTAACAAGGGTTTTCGTGCCAGCTTTCACGCACCGACTAATCCCCCGCTGCAAACATAAGGATATGTCTCATGCACTGGAGTCACTACAGGCGAACCTCCATGGCCACAGGGGATGAGTAGTGCTAGGATTTGAACATGTGTCAATAGATTATCCATCATATCTTCCACATGTCTTACCAAGTCACCACAACCCAAGTGGTTCTATTTTATAAATAGTTAAAAGTTATAAATTATAGTGTTAAACCTAAATTTTAATCCTAAATTAACAAAACAAACCATGAAAATATTTTTTATAATCATTAATAATTTTTAAATAAGTAGCTTAATAATAACTTGCAATAAGAATAGTTAAAAGTAATATTATATAAAAATTTATAATGTTATCTTTAAAAACAAAAACAATGTTTGTTGTTTTAAATAATTACAATCAAAGAAACTAACAATATTCATCAAATAAATTTAAAAAATTTAAATTTTCAAAACCAAATTAAAATAATTAAGATTTTCCAAATATGTTATTTAAATAATTTACAACAACAATAATTAAAAGTAACATTATATACAAAAATTATATTGTCATCGTTAAAAACAAAAATAATATTTGATGTTTTAAATAATTTCAATGATAGAAATTAAAATCTTAAGCAAATAAACCTATTTAAATTAATTAATCATAACAACAACTATAAATATCATTAAACCATATATTATATTTAATTTTATTGTATAACCCGCATGTAGATGTCATTGACACAATCGGGATTATAGAATTTTAAAATATGTCTATATTATTATATAATTTAAAACAAATAGTGTTTATACCAACTTATTATAAGATTTATTATATAAGAGCTAACAACAACGTCATTGATATATTTAAAAAACATATATTTATAAAGATTTCAATTGTATTATTGTATTATGCGCAACTCGTGGGTATCCTCCTAGTAAATCTTATAAAAGTGATCATTGAAATCAATATGGTTCAAGATAGTCTTCTATCTTCCATCATATTCATTTAAAACTCTCAAACATTTCAAATTCTTCTATTTAATGGAACGACTAATTGTATTCTTTTGTGTATATAAGAATATTATCTCCCATTTTAGGTTACTCACATTTCATTCTGATTGTTTAAAAATAAAGAAAAAGGTTTTAGCTGTTTGATCTCTAAAAAAAATTTCAATTATGAAATATATCATGGAGTCGAATACCATTGTGTTCAATTTTATTAAATCAGAAGAGCATATTGCTAGAATTTGGAAGTTGCAAAAAGTGTTGCAATTTGGTTCATGAGTGCTGCTAGAAGTTGATTAAAATATTGTTACCCTAGACAAAATTAAAATGGTACATGGGTTATATTGTGTTCGTTACGTTCTTCTCTACAACCAAGATTTACTTTTGTGTTTCTGTTTCCTTCGACTGTTATTCTGGTTCACAATTGCTTTTGTTGTTTTTTTTTTTTTTTTTGCTTCATAAGTGCCTATAGTTATTTAATTTAAAATATGAATCTTTTATTTATTGCAAGAAAAACAACACATTAAAGAATTGTTTTTATATTTGATTGTCTTTGCCATAATGTTTTTTAGACAGAAAGAATAAATTTTTTTGGCTGGTAATTTAAGGTTGTAAATGAGTCGAGCTACACGTGAGCTACCCGATCTCGGATCGATAAATGCTCGAAACGAGTCGAGCCTTAACGAGTATGAGCTCAAGCTCGAGCCTAGAATAAAGCTCAGTTAGTTAACAAGCTCGCTCTTGAGCCTTCAGATAAGAGCTCGTTTAAGCTCGCAAGCCTTAACGAGCTTTTGTATAATATAAATTCTATAATTTTATTTTATATATTGTTATTAATTAATAATTACAATATTAAAGTTACATAAGCACCCTTGGGCTTAGGCTTTGTCGTAGTAGTATTTACCCTAACCCTATTTCACCCCAATAAATACTTCTCTTTCTCTCACTAACGATCACACTCCACTCTTCATTTGGTTCATACATTTGCACATCTTTGTTGAACACCCAAACAAGGTTAGATTTGTTTTTTACTTTTTTCGGTGTTCATTTTATTCATTTTTATTGATGTTGTCTCTACATTGAAGGCATTAACCTCGATGGCCGTGTTAGTTACTTCTTAATATTTTAGTTTTACAAGTGAATTATCATTAGTTAATACTGTAACCCATTTTTTTAACTTATAATTTTTTTTATCATCTAATAACCGTCACTATTTTAATGCGGATACCTTTTCAAATGGAGGATTTGGTGCTATATTGGTATTGTGATTTTGAAGTTGGACCTGTTAGTTACTTCTTAATATTTTAGTTTTACAAGTGAATTATCATTATCATGTTAGTAGTATAGTTTCGTGATGTTGGTTTCTAGTTGATATTTGCAAGTTTCGTCGAAGAGTTTTCATGTTAGTAGTATATTTATGTGATTTTGGTTTCTAATTTATATTTTGTATGATTTTCAACTTCATAAATCGAGCTCCTTAATGAGCTTTAACTCTGTTACTAACGATCCGATCTCGAGCTGAGCTAAGCCCATTTAGGTTTGACAAATAAACGAGCCTTAACGAGCCGTTCCCGAGCTTTTTATATGTTACACGAGCCGATCCCGAGCTTCACACTCCGTGCTCAAAACGAGCTCGAGCCCGAGCTCAAACTTCTATAACTTCAAACGAGTCTGGCTCGATTAGTGTCAAGCTCGGATCGGCTCAGCTCGTTTACATCCCTAGTTGGTATAATCTTCAGTTGACACAATTTTTATTTCCCTAATTATGTTAATCACCTTCTTCTCTACAACCAAAAAAACATGATGATCATTGAGATTTTATATATAAAATTAGTATAAAAATCATTAGGTCAAATTAATAATAATAACATAACCATTTTAAACATGTATTTTTCAATTTTTTTAAAATGCACAACGCGACATTCGCCTAGTATACTATTATAAACACATAAAATAGTAACAATCATGCACTTGCAAAGCAACTTAAACGACTGGGATACAATGTTGCTTGTTTGAAAACTCAAATACCAGTAGGTCTATTTGTGAATACAAAAGTAGAGGTATTAACTAGATGTGCAACATTATCGCATTCCATCTACTCATACACGAGTCCCAAATCGAGATGGATATGTTATCTTTAATTGGCATGCTCCACTTTAATAGAAAGATGCTATGTGAGGCCCCTATTTTTATGGTGGTCAAATTGGTTTTACCAATGGAAATTCACGATCAAGCATATCGAAGGAACAAAAAACTATTTTTACGGATTTTTTATCCAGGACAAAAGAGTAAAAACTAAAAATACATAGACCTCAACTCAAGGACAAATTCTACATTGTTCCGAATGAATTTTCCAACAGACAAGGCCTTCGTCCATGAATCCTCTAACCATGAAGCCTCTTCCTCTATCCCTCTAGAACCTATCTATACATTTGCTTTCCTAAAAGAAGTCGATGAATTTTCCAACATCACTAACGTTCACCCTTTTCTAATGTTCCTTCCCTCTCACCGATTGACAAGACGCTTATACATATGTCAACAAAAATATGTTTGACTACATTCATCCATATCATAGAAAGATGGATTATTAACAAAAAAAAAAAAGACAATTATTTAACTATATAACCAAACATTGTGTTTTTCTTAAAAGAAAAAAAAAAGGATTGAGATAGCATAAGCTTCTAAACACGATTATAAGCTCAAATTTAAATTGGCAGACTCGGGATACTTTCAAAGAAAAACATTTTGCAACAATATATATTTAAACAACATACACAAACATTGAAACTCTAGACCACAATTACAAAATACAAAACACTAATGATGTAGTTTTGGGTGTATAGCATCATAAAGTAAACCACAAAACTCTTGCTGCATCAGCAGCATCATCTTAAGAAGATAGATAATTGTTAATGCACAAACAGATCAATTTGAATGTATGTTGATGTTCTACCTTGTCCTGCAAAACAAGTGTAAACAATTACTTAAAATTACTCACTTGATAAATCATCTCTTTTGAAAATATATTTCCAAATGGATAATTGAGAAATCACTAGCAAAATTTGCTTTTCCCCCACAAAAATACTTCAAAAAATTCAATAAAGGATTATTTATTTTGAAATAATATGAATAATTTCAAAACATGTGATTTTTTTAAAAAAAAATTAATGGTTTTTTGTGGTAGGAACTATTCAAAAGGCAATTTTTGCAGCAAAAAGTGATTTCATGAAGATGTGCCCATTTTGGTCATTTTTGTGATTCTCTCTAAATAATCATGTAATTCACTATTATTGATTTATAGCAGATATGTGTGTGTGTGTGTGTGAGAGAGAGGAATTATATACCTTCAATGCACAAAGTTTGATCTAGCAACACAAAGATCCAATTCAGAGCTGCATAAAATCAGCTATCTTACAATATCTGTTGACTATAAATGTGTAGGGGCAGAAAGGGGAAAAAGAAACAAACAAAGAGGAAAAGAGGTAGAATACAATTTGAAAAATACACTTGAATTCACATTACAATAATTTTAAATGCTGATATCTTCTTCTTTTACATCAAGATTCTCTAATTCTGCTTTATGAGCAATTCTTCTTTTACTTTGAATTAGACGAACATATTCTGCAATAATAACATGAAATTTTGGAGCAACTTTACTAGTAGAGGTTACATTTAGCCCTGCTTTCTTTAAAGCCCTTGCAACATGTTTTTCTGCCTTTTGGAAATGAGTTGCACATAGAGAAGGAACTGTGGATTTAAGAATTGGTCTCCCACAAAGTATAGGTCCTGCTTGTGAGCTATAACATAAAGATATACAAACATCCATAAGTATCAAGAACTGGTAATATCTTTCTTCACAGATCAAACAAATTACCTAAACCAGATACATATTATGCAAATTAAAGAACTTTTGCCCCAAAATAGCAGTAGCAATGTAATCACTTTGTAAATTTCAATTTGGATCAAAGTATTCATCAATATTGATAATACCCCCAATATTAGGTCAAGTCAAATGTGGAATCAGAACCAAATGCTATTCAAAATAAAGGATACCACAACAATCAATCAAAGAAAATGAGTAGGGAAAGATACCTTTTGATCACGTAATTGCAACCCATGTAGAGTTTCTGTTTAGAATCGGACAATATATGAGCATGACAAAACTTGGTTAGCGCCATGGCTTTTGATTTACATCCATGAACAGCACACCGACTTAAATCGCTACTGAGCTCTAACCCTAACTCATCATCGCCATTCTTTTCCGCATCGATTTCAGTTACTGATCCATCATCCTGATACGGACTCTTCCCATACTCCCAATAATATTCTCTGTACTTCAATTTCAGTTCTTCCATCATACACCAGTAATGATCCTTGTAAACCCTAGCTATCTGCTTCAGTTTTCGAGATCGTCGTTTAAGTACTTCTTCACGAGCTAATAACTCGGACTTTGATAGAAACATATCTTCGTCTACATCCTCAATAGTTGTAGCCATGGAGGCGGAGGGTGATGGTTCGAGCTTAGGAACAGTGTAACTGGTGCCGGTGCCGGTGGCGATGGCGGTTCTATTGTTGGTGACGGTGGCTGTTGCGGTGGTTTCAGCCATACTTTGTATCGATTAGAAGACACGAGTCGTTTGATTGAAACAGAACTTCATGATACTTGAGAGGTCAGTCAACCATGAAACCTTGGGGAAAAGAAAAATGGAGGAGCTTCAGATCAATCAACAGGTTTTGGACAGATTTGTACGGTCTGTCAAACTTTGATATTTAGGGTAAAAAACATCAACTTTTTTTGTAGGAAAACGGCGGTAAGTTAAAAATGTTTAAAGTTTAAATGTTAATGGTAAAGGAGTTTTTGACCCTTTTATTTAAAAAAAAAAAAAAAAAAAAAATTTAAAGGGTGCATGGTTATGTAATTGTAACACCTATTATTCAAATGGATGAGTTGATAACCTAAAGGAGTAAAAAGTATGGCTTTTGAGGAAGACCGTTTGCCACGACGTGGGATGGCTTGTATTGTGTGTGTTCTGATGGACACCACAACGTGGTAAGTAGTGTGCCACGACGTGGTGGTGGTAGCAGCCCAAACCCATGATTTTTTTAAGACCAAAAATTTCATTTTTTAATTTAATAATTCATAAAATAGATTATTAAAAACATCATGAAGTTATCTCATATCATAAAACCCATAAGTCATATGTCTCAAAACATGTCATAATATAATAATGTCAGAGTACAAAATCCCAAGAACATCATAGTGCGGAAAATCGTGGTGTGATGTGCTGCTATCGTGTCGGCTCCTTTCCATTCGAAGAAGGACCTGAAACAAAAATTGAAAACCGTAAGCACAAAGCTTCCCCCATCATACCACATACCATACAATAAACATACTGTCTAACATGTCCGGGTACTGGCCTACCCCTTCGGTATCTTTCAACCGGTAACTTGCCTAGCATATCAGGGTGTTGGCCTACCCATTCGGTCTCTTTCAACCGGTAACTTGCCTAGCATATCAGGGTAATGGCCTACCCCTTCGGTCCTTTCGACCGGTACCTTGCCTAGCATATCAGGGTGCTGGCATATCCCTTCGGTCCTTTCGACCGGTACCGGGGAATATTTCACCCCCTACTTCTACCATGTAATCTCCTAGTATATAAACACATAAGTCACATACTGCCTAGCATATCAGGGTGTTGGCCTACCCCTTCAGTCCTTTCGACCGGTACTGGGGCCTATCCTACCCCTCCTACCACTTTCACATAATATCATAGCATACTAGCAAATAAAGCATAACAGATAGTGGCATACCAGATAATTATCACAAAGACAATCATCTCTACTATAACTCTTACTAGTGGACCGGCATTGGTGCATTCGACTCACTTCTACTGGAATGTAACTCACCTCGTAAAGCTAAGTGTCGAATATTACGGAAAGGAATCTCTAACAGTTGCTCCGATGACTCCTCAACTATCATTATCATAACAACACTTAGTCAAAATCCATAATACTTCTTAGGGTAAAATGACCATTTTACCCCTTGGTCTAATTTGGACCATACCCAAGGCCCAATTCCATCTTATATTTCCCAGCCCACTAATGGCCCACTAATTGTCCAATTTCCTAAATTGGACCCACCTCCTCAAATGGGCCTCATCACAAGCTCAATAAATCCTAAGCCCAAAAATAAGTAATTTCGAGTGGCCCAATATGGCCCAAAAGGCCCAATACTTTAAATCTCAATCCTAGGCTCAAAAACTCTACTCCATACTGGGCCATGGGGCCCAACTATCTAGGCCCAAAAGCCGAAGTTCGCCACTCTGCATGCGTACGCGCGACATACCTGGCACGTACGCCCAGTGTATGCTGGCCTTGACCAAAAGCGGGAAGTTGACCCAATACGCGCGGCGTACCAGGGTGTACGTCTAGCGTACTGGCCAGCTTCCTTGGGGCTCCATTTGTGACTTAATCCATTAAGTACTCACGTCCAGAATGTAGATAAACCGAACATCATGGTCTCACATGATAGAGACCGGAAATCCATGGTGAGCAACGATCTCGCAGATATACACGTCGGCCAGCTTCTTGGTCGATGAGCTCTCCCGGATGGGCAAAAAATGGGCACTATTGGTCAGTCGATCCACGGCGACCCATATAGCATCATATCCCTTTACCGTCTTCGGCAACTTGGTAATAAAGTCCATCGTGATCTACTCCCATTTCCACATGGGAATCTCCAGAGGCTGCAGCTTGCCATGCGGCCTCTAGTGCTCGGCCTTGACCATCCTGCAGGTCAAGCACCTCTCGACGTACCAAGCAATCTCTCTCTTCATGCACGACCACCAGTAGCTCAAACTCAGATCCCGGTACATCTTGGTGGCCCCCGGGTGAATAGAGAAACGAGACTTATGAGCCTCCTCAAATACAATCTGTCTGACCCCACCAGACATCGGAACCCATACCCGGCCATAACGGGTCAACAGTCGCCGACTATCCTGCACAAATCGGGTGATCTCGCCCCTGATCCTCTCAATCTTCCAATTCTCCGGCCGTACACCCTCCACCTGAGCTTCCCTAATCAAGCCCACGAGTGGAGAATCCACTAATATCCTCATACATGCTGCTGAAACACAAGATCCCGCCGACTTGCGGCTCAGGGCATCCGCAACCACGTTCGCTTTACCCAGATAGTAAAGGATCTCGTAGTCATAATCCTTGACTACGTCCAGCCACATGTGTTGTCTCATGTTTAGGTTCGGCTGATCCATGATGTGTCTCAGACTCTTGTGGTCCGTGTATATAGTACAGCGGAACGCACAGAGATAATGTCTCCAAATCTTGAGAGCGAATACTACCGCTCCCAACTCCAAATCGTGTGTGGGATATCTCGTCTCATGCGGCTTCAACTGTCGCGATGCGTAGGCTATCACTCGTCCTCTCTGCATGAGGACCGCTCCCAGTCCCGTGATGGATGCATCACAGAACACTACAAAATCCTCAACTCCCTCCGGGAGAGTCAAGACTGGAGCCTCGCAAACTCGCTGTCTGAGGGTCTCAAATGCCCTCGGCTGCTCATGGCCCCACCGGAAATCCACCCCCTTCCTCGTCAGACGAGTGAGGGGTACTGCAATCTTGGAGAAATCATGTATGAATCTCCGGTAGTACCCTGCCAATCCCAAGAAGCTCCTGATATCCGAGGGAGATTTCGGAACCTCCCACTGCATAACGGCCTCAATCTTGGCCGGATCGACCAAAATCCCCTCCTGGTTAACGAGATGTCCAAGGAAGTGAACCTCTCACAACCAAAACTCGCACTTCGAGAACTTGGCATAAAGTCGTTCTCGTCTCAAGACTCCCAAAGATGTCATCTGTAAACATAATGACTGAGCGATCGAGCATCGGTCTGCATACCCGATTCATCAGGTCCATGAATATAGTTGGGGCGTTGGTGAGCCCCAACGGCATCACCACGAACTCGTAATGTCCATAACGAGTCCGGAACGCAGTCTTCTCCACGTCCTCCTCCCGTACCCTGACCGGATGCTACCCGGACCTCAAATCTATCTTGGAGAGCCAAGATGCTCCCTGTAGCTGATCAAAGAGATCATCGATCTGTGGTAGTAGATAACGGTTCTTCACCGTCAACTTGTTCAACTCCCGGTAGTCAATGCACATCCGTTGTCAACCATCCTTCTTCTTCACGAAGAGAATCGGTGCTCCCCACGGAGAACTGCTCGGACGAATGAACTGCTTGCCCAGAAGTTCCTGCAGCTGTGACGATAGCTCCTGCATCTCTGGTGGTGCCAATCGGTACGACGCCTTGGCGATAGGGGCTGCACCTGGCACTAGGTCGATCCTGAACTCGATCTGTCTCTCCGAAGGCACTCCGGGTAACTCCTCTAGAAACACATACCTACCCATACTACCTTCCATACCTACCCATATTTGTCTCAAGTATCATCACAACGCCCTAACAATATACATATACATGGCGAGCACTCAATCCTCACTCCTAGAGGAAGGCTAAATATCTCGTAACTGACCCCGCACAACTCACCCATGAAACTTCCACCAACCCTGCAACACTAGTGTATGCTAGTCATACATAACGTTGGACCTTATAGACTTTCGAATATTTGATCCTACCCTAAGCTCTTCATCAAACAAGAATAGGAAATAAGGTTAAACCAAACATTCTCAGGCTATAAGATCTTAATTATGTACAACTATGATGCATACACTAAGCAACTACAGTAATGATGTTAATTTCATATAAGGAAATCCCTAGGCTACCAGGCATCATGTAATCAGGCAATTCTATCATGAAATTCCTGAAGATCCCTAGCCTAACTCTAGCATGTTGTTCTAACATATCACAATATCAAATATCTGTATGGTATTTTGGGGTCTACTTACTGGCTC